ACCAGGAGCTGAGCTCGGGTTGTTTGTCTGATCTCATTATTTTCCATTTTACAGATGAAGACATGGAGTCCCAGACAGGTCAGGGGACTTGTCCACAGGTCGTATAGCTGAAGGTAGAGCTGGGATTCCAGTTTTGAGGACTGGCGCCCCGTACCCCACTGTCTGCCACTACATGCTGTGTTTTGCACTCAGGCCCTGTGGTCGGCCCCTTTGGACAATTTGGCTGCATTTGTAGAAATATTTGATGAGTGCCCCAGTCGTGCTTGATGAGGCAGGATGTCCAGGAGAGCAGGGACCTTCTTGGCTTTGACCTGCTTCTGGTGTGCTAGCAGGCTACCCAGTGCCTGGCACACAGCAGGTGTGTAATTACTGTTTACTGGGGGGATATGTGCTCAAGTTGGGGCAACTCAGAGGTGGGTTTTGGGGAAGTTGCATGAAGAAGGGGCTGCAACTAGAGATTAGGAGATTTTGTAGATGTGTAGGACTCATCAGGACGTGCTATAAAATTGGGGGAGTGAGTTGAGGGGTGGATGAAGCCCATGTATGAAAGGAGGAGAATTTCCCTGGGCTGAGCTGCTCAGGGTTAAGCCCCTTTTCTTATACTTTGAACACACTTTAACTGCACTTAACCATGCATTTGGAGGGGATTATAGATTTATGTTAAATATAGTAGGATATAAAAAGGAGCTTTGTAAGGTTGAGGCAGGGTTAGAGAACTGTAATATCAGACCAGGGACTTTTTTATTTCCCCCCCCTCTCCTTTCCTTTCTCAAAGCCAGCATTTACTGAGCTAAGCACTTTGCTGAGCTGTCAGTTGGTGTGAGTTTATCTCATTGAGTCTTCCCTCTGACCCACTGCGGGTATGTGTTAGTCTTACTCTCATGCTTAGGTCCAGACATTGAGCCTCAGAGTAACCAAGTAACTTGCTCAGGGGCCCCCCCAGCAAGTACCAGCCAGGTTAGGATTAGAACCCGAGATCCACCATGACCAAGTACAAGTGTGTGCCACTTGGAGGCAGTCCTCCTAGGGACTGTTGCCCTCTGTCCCCGCGAGCCTCACTGGTTGAAGAAGGTACAGTTCTGGCTATGGATCAGTGACCTGGAACTCAGGGTGCAGTGGAGTTGATCTTTCGTATGAGGTAAAAACACTACTGAAAATCCCTCCAGGTCCCTGCTTTGCATAGTATGCGTGTGGCTTTGTGTTAGACCCGGTAAGAGAACTGAAACCTGTAGGAAGACATTCGCTGGCAGAAAGAGCTAGTGACACTGAATTTGCTCCCTTCTATCTCTTTTGTCTCCCAGTGTGTGTATTTGAACTCCTGCTGTCCCGTTTCTGCTTCTAGGATGCTGCTGCTTTCTACTCACTTGGGCTGTCCCCGGAGATAGCTTCTTGCGTTCGTGCAAATATGGGCCATGTTTCTCTCTAACAGGTGGAGGTTGGGCTGGGTGGTCTTTGAGGTATAGAACGTTCTGTGATTGTCTTGGGGGAAAGCTGGAAATGCAGAGTCAGCTTCCTGCAGCTGGGCAGGTCACCACCAGGCGGAAGGGAAGCTCGGCCCTGTAGGTTGATGCCCCCAGACGTGTGGGCCCAGCCTAGCATATTATCTAATTATTATTTTAAGAGATAGTAGACCTTTAGTCTCTTACCTCATTTTTTTTGTTGGCAAAAATCTGTCATGTTTTAGGAAGCAGCATACCTACCAGATAGAAAACACCCCTGGGGCTGCATTAATTCCCCATCCTCCTCTGTGGTTGGTGACTTCTGGGGAAGTGGAGATTCTAATAGACCGGAAGGGTGGTCTTTGTTCTTCACTCCACATTCTGCAATCCCAAGGGAGAAGAGTTCCCCTTTCTTCTCTCACTGGTAGTAAGGCTCTGGTACCTACCTATAGGAATGGCAGCTGTGAGCTCTCTTGAGGAAGCCAGTGTCGTGGAAAAACCGAGAAGTTGACTGTGTGAGTCAAGGGGTTGAAGGTCTTCACTGTTGAGTCTTCCTATGGAGTTTAAGAGTTTTTAGTCTATTATCGCATGGGGGAACTGCTTATGATGAGTTCATATTTTCTGGTCAAACCCTATAAACCTTAGTTTCTCATTTTGAAACATGTGGGGACAGGGCTCCAAGGTCCCCTCTGTAAATGCTGTCAGCCAGGCTCTTACCATTGCATTTTGGATTGTGTGGATGGAAATAAACACAGTTCACTCGCTGAGAGGCACAGCATACCGTGGCCTCTTCCCTCAAGCCTTCTAGATTCTTTAGAAATCTGATGTTTGACTTCTCTTAAATATCCCAAATAGTAGAGGGGTGTGTGTATATGTGTGTGTGTGTGTGTGTGTGTGTGTGTGTGTGTGTGTGTGTGTGAAGGAATATTTGTAGTTGGAGTTTATATCAAAATAGATATTTAGTCCAGAAATCCTGTTGTGATAGGAGTTGCCATCAGTAGAAGGCTGGAGATTACATTTTCCAGTTGAGGAAAACGGTGTTCAGCAGAGCTTAAGTGCCTCCCCAAAGTGACAGGCTAATTAGTGTCAGAGTAGGGGCCAAAATCCTAGTGTCCAACACCCTGTCCTTATAACTTGGTGTTATAGGCTTTGCCTCATTGTATCCCAGTGTCCCATATTGGGGAATTAATGCCCTGTTGTATGCCTTACTTCCTTTTATTTCATCCCCTTTTCTTGTATATCTAATTGAAGCCATGTTCGTTCTCTTGGAATTAATGTAGGCTGTCGATCAAGGGATGTAAAGGGTATTTCAAGAATACTGTTACGTTTTGTCTTTTCAGTTTATATATGTAGCAACCAATCATTGTCAGTTTACAGCTAACTATACAAATTAAGAAATTGTTGGCAAATGTGAAAGAAAAAAACCTATAAAGGAGCCAGTTTATCATTTCCCTCAGCCCCGCCCCGCCCCCCTTTGAATTCTGGAAAGTGGTTCTTTTTTTTTTTTTTTTAAGATTTTATTTATTTATTTGTCAGAGAGAGAGAGAGCATACACAAGCAGGCAGAATGGCAGGCAGATGCAGAGAGGGAAGCAGGCTTCCCACTGAGCAAGGACCCTGATGCAGGACTCCATCCCAGGACCCTAGGATCATGACCTGAGTGGAAGGCAGCAGCTTAACCCACTGAGCCACCCAGGCATCCCTGGAAAGCGGTTCTTATCTCACACAATCTTTTAGCTGAAAAGACTACAATGTAGCATTGGATTTTTTTTTTTAACCCCTCACTTGAATTTCCCCCCTCAGTACCTGTCTCTTCATGTGTCAGCTCAGTTTTAAAATAGAAACTATCAGTAGGAACTCTGATCCGCATTAAGCTGCATTTCCGTGAAAGCGTAAATCACCAGACCTGGGGTCTTGGGGCCGCTACACGCTTTTCTTTCTTGGGCTCTGTGATCAAGAACGCAGAACAATGCAAAGCATGGAGCTAAAGTTTTATGGCAGCTCTGAGAGCAGGAAATTAAGTTTCTTCCCCATGCAGATGGGTAGAGGGCTGTTCTCTCGCGTCTTGGATCAGTCAGGCAAGTGAACGTCAGTTTATCATTTCAGTGAGAGGCAAACTGTAGAAATAGTTCCTACAGTCATATGAACAGGGAGCCCACACAGATGACTGCTTCAGCTGTTGAACTAGGAGCACACTTCCTCATATAATTTATCTTGAAATGCATGTGCGGTGTCTGTGTGTGTGTGTGTGTGTGTGTGTGTATTTAAACAACAAAGGCTATGTTCTAGTACATTTGTAGTCAAGTGTTGATTTCTTACAAAGGTTAATTGGGAACATAGGAACCACAGACTAAGATGGCGTTTTGCCCGAAAAACCTTCTGTGTGCCCTTTTTTACTACACATATGACTCATTAGCTCGACTGATAGTGTGTGCAAGGAGTCATCCCTTATAGGTGGGCGGTGTCTGTTTCACATGAGGGCGTGAAGAATGTGGAGTCAGGGTGCAGATGGGCTTTGCCTTGGGCTCATCTGCCTTTGACCACCTGTTTGAGCAGGGCCTCAACTAATTCTCTAACAGTCCTAACAGTAGTTAAAATGGGTCTGATGAATGAATGGGGTGACTGGTGATTGACCTATTTGATATGTGCACAGCCTTTGGTTTCGTTACGGCCGGGGTCCTGGACATTTTGTGGGGACGATCTCCTTGCCTGCTCTCTAAGATAGGGGTGCAAAGGAGATACCGTTGCTCTTACAATGTAAGCTCTTACATTGGCTGTCATGTCTGTTATCCTGGGATTTAGAGGGAGGGATCCCAGGTCTCGGTCAGATTGATCAGGGATCTCTCCAAGCCGAGCCACTGATGGATGGGTGCATTGGAGAAACTCCAGTTCTTTTGATGTTGGGCACACACATTTATTTCCCCATTTGTATGAATTTTGTTAAACTTTGCAGTAGAAAACTTAATTAGGAGTTGATGCTTAATACATGCTAATAATATCCAGTTTATGTGTTTGAGTGTGTATAATCAAGTTTATGTATTTTATATATTCAGCAGAGTAAGTTAATGTATTTTCTCAGTGATTTAATTCATTATGGTTTATAAAGTACTTTGAAAACAATTTCAGTCCATCTCCTATGCTTAACTGTCCAAATGATGCATCTGCAGTGTTTATTGGAGTTCCTCCTTTGGAAAACACTGCAGTTTTGGAAGTACGATTTCATGACAGGAGGGAAGGAGCCTGAATTTTGCAGAGCGTGTCTCTCGCACCTTGACCGAGGCTGACCGGTTGTCCATGGGTGAAGTCAGGACATTGAAGTCCTGCCTCTCGTTCTGGAAGCGAGAGCCCCAATGCTGACCTTGTTTGGCATGTGGGAAAAAAAGAAATCAGATGCTCATTTCCCTTTGACTGTGTCTTTTGGCACCATGCAAACCCTCAAAGCGTATTATAATTGCAAATGGAATTTGGAACGGTGATGTATTCTAGAAGTGATGTAAACAGATTGCATTGCAAACAGCTCCGAGAATACAGCACCACTGCAGTAAGCCTGTCTGTCTTTCAGGTTGACCCCCTGTTTACAGTGCCAGCGCCGCCACCACCGATTTCCAGCAGCCTCACGCCTCAGATTCTGCCCTCCTACTTTCCCCCATCTTCACCCAATATTGCAGCACCAGTCGAGCAGCTTTTGGTTCGGACTCGTTCTGTGGGTGTCAATACGTGTGAAGTTGGAGTAGTGACAGAGCCCGAGTGTCTGGGGCCCTGTGAACCTGGGACCAGTGTGAATTTGGAAGGGATCGTGTGGCATGAAACAGAAGAAGGTAAATACACTTTACTTTTCTCTATTTCCCTGTGCCCTCTTCCCCATGACGTTCTGTGTTTATGCCCACCCGTGAGGGGATGTGGTCTGGTGGTATGCGGAGAGGTGGGAAGAGGGGGTTCCATGCTGTCTGGATGGCTGTCGGAATAAGCATGGAGGCTCTTATGTTCAAGGTGAATGAGATGTCCGTGGAAGGGATCTGCACTTTAGGCACTAGCACAGGGAGACTGGGAAGCAGGATGAGGGTTCCCCTTTGCCCCAAGAGGGATTGTGGAAATTAGGGAGACAGACAGATCTCAAGTTCACTTTCTTCTTTGGTGCCAACCAGTCTGTCTGTCTGGACATGGTTGTTTCGTTTATCTTGACGTGGGGGTATTGAGGCTTAAATTGACCTGCTGAATTGAGCTCGGGTTCTTGGTTTAGCGAGAGCCGTGCCTGTGATGTGGCTGTGGCTGGTTGGTGCTTTGAGCTCACAAAGCCCGAGCTCAGAGGCTTAAGCCCCAGCTGAACCAGTCATTTCTCTTCTGTGACTGGAGACATGGCACCTTCCCTGCCCCTGAGCTCCCCAGGCCAATTGGCAAGGGGAACCCAGTAGTCACGAGACAAGGGGATTAGGATTAACCTGTCACTGCTCTTAGAAATATATAAGTGTGGCCTCTACCATACTTACCATGGATCGAACCCTGGCTGGACACGTCTCATAGCACGTGATCACCTGGTCTGGTGTGTTTTAGATGTCATTGACCTTAGAGGCCCTTAAGTAATTAAAAACGAAATACCAAGGACAGCACTGCATTGCTCCACTGGGGAATGAAAGGAATAGAAAAAAATGAGGAAGAAACAAGCCCCAGGCAAACAAAGGAGAGTGAACAACCCATTCTTCCCTCTAAGCTAGGTTGGTCAAGGATAAGGGAGAGGACAGGTGTCTGTATCATGACCAGTTGGGAGAGGAGTAAGGACAGGGAGGGGGGTAATGAGACTCAGAATCACTGTTTAGGTCCCTCTGCATCAAGGGGAAAAATTAAGGGTTGCAACTCATAGGAAAGAAAGTAAAATATATAAAAAAGAATGAAAATCAGATGACAAGTTGTCCCAGCATAATTGTCAGAAGGTGGAAAACAGTACACACTGTCTCAAGGTAGAAAAGCAAAAAACCTTAGGAGAATCTTGGAATTCTGTGTCTTGTGTTAAATATGCTGTTAAAGGATCTATTTTGTGTCTGGTTACAGAATTTCATAGATAGCATCGGTAAGGAAAAGTCTTTACAGATGAAGGAACCCGAGAAAATGAATGAAAGCGGCAGATGGGAAGAGCTCTCTTGTGTGCGCAACCAAAAGCGATAGTTCATGTTTGCTTTCGGCTTTAGAAATGTCTGGTGTTTGGGGTTGGGGGGTGAGGGGGTGCATCCTCTTTGTACTTTTAATAGAGCTCTGCAGCCAGATTGGGGGGAGTTGGGGGAAGAGGAACTAGAATTCACATTTTCATCTCTTGCTTGTCCATTGAGACGCCCTCCAGGGCACGAGGTAGGTCCCATGTGGGCAACCAGCTTCTGTCCTCCTGCCTCTCCTTGGGTTGTACACACTTGGCATTCTCAGAGTTTCCCAAGAGCAGAAGCGGGGGCTGAGGGTGTCCCGGCTGGTATCTGGGGGGATAAAAGTATAGATAGAGACAGCATCAAGACATTAATAAGGTCGTAGTTCATTAGCTTGGGTACTGATGATTCGGGAACAGAAAAAGATTTGGAAAGGCTAAGGTTGATCTTCCATCGACTCGAAAGAAAGATTTTCTGGCACTTGAATCCACGTGCTTGTTTGGGTGAAGTGGCGCCTTGCACTTCTGTCCCAGCTGCGACTTAGTGACCGTCGGTTTATTGCTTGTCTTGACTTTACTTACTCCTGTGTGGGACAGGACCGTGTTCCTGCAGCATGACCTCACTGGGTGGCAGATGCTGTAAAATTAGCTACAAACTTTCTGGAATGCCTGTAAGTCTTGGGTTATTTTTCACTTCACTTGGAAGTTGGCTTGGTTTTGACTTGAACCTGAGCTTCTAATAAAAGACGGGTTTACTTAGGGGAAACAAATGTTGTATTCAGAAACTGTAGGAACTCTGGGCAAACCGTTAAAGAGCTCGATGGTATTGTCAGGATTACTGTGACATTCTTTTCTTCCTTCTGTTTGGTCGTGATGCACATACAGTCTCACGAGTTGCACAGTGTTCTCTGAGCGGGCCGCCTCCCGAGTCCGTGTGCTGCGGTTCCCCCATCCTGTGGGTGTGCCCCTACCCCCTCTTGTGGCTCACAGACAGCTTTCCGGGCTCTGCAGACCCATGACTGGAGCCTTCTGCAGCTCCAGCCTTCTTGTTACTGGCTTACATTTTCCAGGATTTGGGATGTGTGGATGTCAACTGTGGTGACAAGAAGGAGCCAGAGCTCCTTAACACAGTTATTCTTGCTGAATAAACTCAACTCCCGACCTCCACAGAACTCGAGAACCCGACTTTGTGAAGGCGCGGGTCGTAAAATGTGTGTTTAATGTGCAACCCTTCTTAAGAGTGTTCCATTTGCAACCCCCCTCGGCCCCCCCGTACAGTGTGTTTAAAGCTCTTGTACCAATTTAAAAATTAAATCCACGTGACCATTAATTTTTCCCTTTGGGGAAAAACAAAGAGAGAAACAGAACAAACACATTTGGAGCCAGTTACTTGGCAGAGCTAAAAGGGATGGGTTTGGGAAGAAGAGGAGGGGACGGGAAGCCACAATCGTTTACTTCTGTGGGGTCGCACTAACGACAAGCTTTAAGTTCGGAAAGTGCTGGTTGCTTGTGATTAACTTCCTGGAGATGGAGTTGAAAAAAAAAATCTCTTCCCTGGTGTTTTCATTTTGAGGTGATTTTATACCGGGAGTGGTTTTCACAAACCTAATTTGTTAGGTGCATTCATGGGGGGCCGGGTGTGTGTGTGTGTGTGTGTGTGTGTGTGTGTGTATGTGTATTGAGATCCTGTGTGTGTGTGTATTGAGATCCTAGAAATTTCAGGAGCTCCTGTCTGCCGTCTTTGGGGGAAATATGGAGTGTTCTCATGATCTGTTTTGAAGGATAATGTGCACCAGCAAGACGACAATACGAAATCCCACTAAATACTAATTGTTTCTTGTGCTTGGAATTCCTCATTTGAGGAGGGTTCTTTGAGTCACAGGCTTTGCCTTTAGTGTTGCTGCCAGGATGTGGAGTCCTGGTTGCTTGAGGACCAGACTGTCCTCAGGAGTGACGTGTGGTGAGAGAAGTTCCCTCTGGAAATAATTAGTGGGTTTCAGAGCGTGCTCCAGAGGAGAGAAAAACTATTAACTGCATTTGGATGTTTAGTTACTCGACTCTGATCTCTCTTCTTGAAGGTGAGCGCATGGGAGCAGTGACGTCTCGTGCAGAATTGCTCTCAGATGTTGGGAGAGAATTTCCTGGGCATTTCATTCCTGACGTTTGGGATGCACATGCCTTCGTATAGTTATTTGTTTGGAAATTGGCTCTTTTGGGGAGGGTGAGGGTAGGGGAGACCAAACTGGAAAAAACATGGTGTGGACAGCAGAGCGTGTAAATACATACATGCAGAACTTGGCTTTTTAGCTCTTATGAACGTGTTTTCCTTTGGGTTTTTACTAAAGCATATGTCTAACTGGGCTCACCCCCTCTTTTTTTTTTTTTGGCTCTGAGAATACACTTCGTTGTTACAACTCTAATTTACTTTGGCCTTTCAAACATGTAAGGTTACAACACTGGGGTTCTCAGCTTGGTGCCTTTGAGTCACCCAGAGATTTTTAAAAACAGGTCCAGGCACCACTTCCGGGCATTTCCTTGGTCAGGGATGGCAGTTTGGGCTGGTTGGGTGAGCTGATGTTGGTGTTTTTTTCCAAAGCTCCCCAGGGGATTCTGATGTGCAAACAAGATTGAGAAACACGGTCTCAGGGGAAAGAGGGGATGTCCTAACCCCTGCAAGCTGCTTGACCTTTTCCCTTTAAGGAAGTCCGTGTGTTGTTACCTCATTTTCTTGGGTATAAAATGGACAGACACCCCTGCCCTATTTACCTCCCTGGATAGTGTTTGCCTAAAAGCTATAGTGTGGCAGGTGAGCGTCGTTGAAACACCATCCCAGAAAGAAAGAGGGTCCAGCGCTTGATCCTGAGCTTGGACTTGACAGGGTGTCTGGGACTTAATGAACAACTAATTGGTACCACTCTTCTTACTTATTAATATGGTGGGGTGGACCTTACTGCCTGTCCCTTCAGTGAGCCAGAAGTGGTATCTTCATTTTCTTTCCCCGTGGTGTCTGCTGAATTATTATTATTTTTTTAAGAAAGATTTTATTTATTTATTTGACAGAGAAAGAGAGCACGCGCACATGAGCAGGGGCAGAGGGAGAGGGAGAGAAGCAGGCTTCCTGCCGAAAATGGAGCCCGATGCGGGGCTTGATCCCAGGACCCCGGGATCACGACTTGAGCTGAAGGCAGCCACTTAACTGACCTAGCCACCCAGGCTTCTCTCTGCTGAATTATTTTTGAAATCGTTCAGAAACCCAGAGTATTAAAGTTAATACTTGCAGCCTTCCTATTAGCTTGGAGAGGGGACGGTGAAAATGTAAATGGCAGCTTCTGAAAGTAAATGCGGTGTTTTAGAGAAGATCTGCCGCCTGGTCTAAGAAGCAGAATGGTTCTTTGTATGAGGTTCTTCATCTGAGGTTCTATGTGTTTTCCAAGAACAGTGATCTTGGGAATTAATGTTTTAAAGGTAATTAATCGGGGGAAGTAAATGACTCTCTTTAAACCACCAGAGATGCTCACCAGTGCTTCTGCTTCTCCTGTGTCTCCAGAGTCAGAGAGAGGACAGTGTTTCAGTGCGCAGTATCGGGGGTTTCAGGTTCATTCATTACGAGGCAAACGATCCTCTCTAAACTGACGACAGGGCTGACATACGTTGTCGTTACTCCTATGCTGCGGTGCTGACTTGCCGAAC